TTCAAGTCTTCCAGTCGATTATTTCTCCTGGCAACATGTTCCAATCTGTAGCTGCTCTAATGGTAAAAAGAAAATTTCTGCAATTCGAAGTTGGCCTTCTTCGTTATCACTTTTTTGTCATTTGCCCTTGTGTCACGATTATTCAATTCGAACATGATCTTTGTAGCTTTTGGGCCGTAACGGTTGTACCCTATTTTGAAGATTTCGATCATTGTTAATCGCCTTCTGCAGTATTCAAGTGATGGTAGTTCTAGTTTCTCTAAACTTTCATACTAGCTTAGTGTCTGCAGCCCTTGAACCATTTGTGTGGCTCGTCGTTGCATATTTTCGATTATCCCTGTGTTCTTCTTTAATCGCTGGTACCAGGCTCGGTTACAGAACTCCAAACGAGGCCTTATGAGGCCTTCATAAACAATTAAAAACACAGGTATAGTCTTTCTAGGGAAAGTTTTTTTAAGAACTGCAATGATAGAATTTGTCTTTCTAACTTTTGCAAAGATATGAGAGTCAAAGGAGAGTTTACTATGGATGATCACTCCAAGTCTTTTTTTCTTTTATCGTTTCAAGCTGTTTATCGTACAGTTCATATGATCTTCTTCCATTTGAGATTATCATATGTACACAATTGTCTTCATTGAAATGCAAAAGACTATTTTTTGACCATTCTTCCAGTTTTCTTAGATCATCTTGCAGCAAGTCAACGTCTTTTTTACTGGTTATTTCTATGTATAGTTTTGCATCGTCTGCAAATAAATACAATTTTGCTTTGAAAGATGCCCACTCAACATCTTTCCATTCAGATCTACTGTCGTTTATCACAACTCTTTGTCGTCTTGCTATTAAAAACTCGTTGATCAAGCCCAGTGTTTTTACTTTTATTCCATATTCTTTTAGGATTCCTATCAGTCTTTTGTGCGGAGCCGAGTCGAACGCTTTCTTGAAATCCAAGTAGATAACATCCGTTTCTCGGCAACTAATCATTGTTTTTGTGAAATCATCCAGCACTCTCAGTAGTTGTAATTGTGATGATTTACCGTGCAGAAAACCAAACTGTTCTTTTACTAGGATTTCATTTTTTTCTAGATGTTCCATAAGATGGGCTCTAATTATTTTTTCAAATATTTTACAAACTATTGATGTTATGTTTACTGGACGACAAACGTCAGCTAATGACTTTTTCCCCATTTTGAAGATAGAGGCTATGTGAGCAAGTTTCCAGTCTTTAGGTAGCTTCGTTTTGTCCCAAGATTTGTTAAAAATATTTGTTAGAAATTGACTCAGGAAATCTCTTAATTCAAACAGAAGTTTCGGGTGAATTTCGTCGGGCCTGGAGATTTCGATGTTTTGAGTGGGTCTATTTGCTCTTTCACCAATTGCTCTGTTATTTCTAAGTCCTTTACTGGATGGGTGATATCCAATTCTGGAATCTTCCATTCTACTGGTGGTTCGTGTGTGAAGACTGATGAAAAGAAATTTGACAAAACTTCAATTGTTTTGATCTCATTGGTCGTTAAAGATCCATCATCCTGCACTAAATCTGGTATTGCATTTTGTAACACGGTCTCACATAGCCCCAGATTTTTTTTCGTTTCATTTTTATTTTTACATCTTTAGCTATTTCACTTTCTTTTGCCCTTTGATCTTTTCGTGTTTTTGTTTCAACAGCAATTCTTTTTTCTTTATAAATGTCAAATTTTAATTTTGTTCTATAGCAGCAAAATTTTTTCCAATTTTTCTCAGTTTGTTTGCTTTGATTGCCTGTTGAGTGATATTGGTGAATAGCAAGTTGTTTCTACCCTCTGGATTGAGCCTAGTTAATGCTAGAGACTTTTTTGTTAGTTCAGTCAGGAGTTCGCGTAAATCCGTCCAAAGTTTTCAACATTGTCATCACTGTGAATAAACGACAAATTTGTTACTTCATCCCTCATTGGGTCGTAGTCTTCTTTAGCGGAGTTGTATCTAATCATGGTCTTACTAGTTTTGCGAAACGCGGGCAACTCCACTTCTATGAGAACGTGGTCGCTCTGTCCCAGAGGTGGTTGGATATTAGTGTTCAGGTCGCTTAGACCGGCATCAGTTAAAACTATTTCTAGTAGTTATGGTTTATCTCCGGCCGTAATGGGAGTTGGTTCATCGATGTGTTGGGTTACACTGAATACCTAACTCCTTCTAGAAATTTGATTTCTTCGCTCTCCTCGTCCTTGGTTGAACTGCAATCACAGTTAAATGATGAAAAGTTTGTGTCCTCCAAGATTACAGTATAATCCTTCCCATCTTTTTCGCATAATTCTTTGATTGATTGGCCAAGGCAATCGTTATTCATTTCTGGTAAATTTGGGACACGGTATACAACTGCCAAGCGGTTAAATTTACAATAGCAATGTCTCAAATCATCATTTCTTGTAACTTGTTCGGGTTTTTCTAGTGCAGTAGATATATCTTTATTTATGAAAATTAAAATTTCTCGCCCGCAGTCGTTTGGATTCAGATTTACTGACTCAATGTTATAGTTGTTACTTTTGTACCAAGCTGGATTCTACTCAATTTTGGAATTTTTCGGTTCTGTTTCAGCGAGAGCAATTACATCTGGTGGGTTCTTTTTATCTTCAAATAAGTTGATCAATTCCTGATGTTTTGTTTGTGTTAGAGTATCAATATTTGTTTACCAGAAGTTTAGTTTTCTAGTCTTGCTTTCTTCTCGACTTTTAGTATCTGCGTTCCTCGAACCAGATATACATAGTTTCCTTCTTCCTGATCGTTCAAGTTTTTTTTGCTTTCGTAATTAGGTTTCGCATTTCTTCTTTTTTTCAAACTGCGATCCGTGCTCATTCTGAGATTTCTGATTTCTGCAGTGGCTCCTTTCAACTTTGGCAACACTTGGTTTATTTCAATAACATCTTGTTCAGTTTTGAAGGAAACCTGCAATAGTCTGTTTATATCCTCATCGGTTTTCCGACCGAGTCGGATCGTTTTCTCAAATTGTTTATCACTGTCAGTAGCTGCACTCTCCTTGGCTTTGAAGATCACAATATTTTTTTTCTTGGATTTTCTTCAGCTTCTTCTCTTTTATGTTCTTCTGTTGCTTCTATGATGATCTGTTTCAAAGGTTTCACTTTCCGATTCACAACCTCTTTTAAATTCCTGTCTGATCTTCAGCCTTTCCGTGAGATGGTCCTGCTTTGAATTTATAGAGAACATTCATCGTGTTTTTCATGTTATCCATAGTTGTGTCGAGATCTGCTCTTAACTTTTTGGTCGAATGATCGATTCCGTTTTCCTGTTCTTCGCTGTTAAATTGCATCACGGCTGAACAGCAAGTTGTTCAGCACCAGATTACAGTAGTTTGGCACATGAACTGATAGGCTGCGTTAGGAATTTTAAGGCTTTTTGCACAGTAGTGTTCACGGCAACGCTCACACTCCATGACTTTGCCTAGGGGTTTCCATTTATTTCCTTGCAAATTTTACATTCCCAAGGCTCAAAGCGATCCCTCACTGATGTAATTCCCTTTAGACGAGTTTTGGGGGCATTTTGGATGACCTCGCTATCTACTGGTTTTGCCGCTCCAAGATAACGAAACCTCAGAAGCTACAAAGCAAGAAAAAAATGAAGTTTCCTAGAATCACTTCCCTCCTATTTCGTCGCTCCAAGACAATTAAACCTCAAAAACTACAAAAGCAAGAAAGAAATGAGTTCTCATGACCAAGTTGATCAATGCAATTCTATCAGCTCACTCCGCCGCTCCAATATAATTTAACCTCAAAAGCTAGAGAGCAAGTTTAAAGAAAAGCGATAGATTTTACCTGGGTATTTTACTGCTGCTTTTTCTTTGGTTTCCTTTTTGACTTTCGTTTTCTTGTTTTTGTTCTTTTCTTTAAGACTAGTTTACGAAGATTTGACTCGTTTCGTGAAACAGTCCGCAGGAGTTGTAGCTCCAGTACAGAAGAGTGATGAACGTTTTGTATCTCTTCTAGTACTAAACTTACTTTATTTTTCCTTTTTGATATCAAGTGTTTGCGAACGTTGATTATCGTAAAGTTTTTTGTTTTTAACTCCAGTAGTCGGTCAAAAGTCCTTCTTCAAAGGGCGTACAAATCGCCTAATTGTTGTGATAAACTTATTAAATAGTTTCATATTGGTTATGTCGACGGGACCACACTGAAGGATCATAATCAACTGGACTACAACAAAGACGATCACCATCATCTGGATCAACAATGCTACGGACATCTTTGCGATACCAACAGACGCCAACGACGATGACAGGGAGAGGTGGACGCAACCAATCGGTTTCTGATTGTGATGTGATCTGGGAGAAGCTCCTGATTGACTGCTTCTACTGCCATGAGGTATGGACTGAAATACAAGTGCCAAAAGGCAAGAAGCCTAAAGTTAATAGAGTAGACTACATGTGCGGGTTGTGTGCCGTAGATATTGTTGCCAAACTGACATCAAAAGTGAATGATTATAGCAAATTGTTGCAAACGGAAAGAGACGAACGTGTTTTGCTAAAAGCTGAATTAGCAGAATAAGAAAAACGAGCTGCCGGCACATTGAAACCAGTTTTCAAGACAGACTCTCTACATGTGATTCTTTGAATGAGGTTTTGGAAAACAATGTGATAAAGAAGAACGACCAATTATGGACCGAAGTTGTTTCTCGAAAGAGCATGGTAAGCAAACTGAAAGAAGATGTGGAAAAGCTGAAAACCAAGCAGAGTGTACCTAAGCCAGATGATGTTGAAAAGCTAATTAAAATCAACGAACGACGGAAAAGAAGCTTGATTATTCGTGGGTTACATGAGAGTACTGGGTCAGATGAGGCAACAAAAGCCAAAGACGATGTTGAGTTTATGAAGCCACTTATGCCTAGCAACCAGCCCTTTCGTGCTGCTAGGATTGGAGAGCCGAAGTCGGACGGACAACCGCGGCTTCTCGCACTTACTTTCCAGTACCCGGGCGTTGCCGAAGATATACTCCGAAAACGATGGTTTACCTACAATGACCGAAAATACTACTACAACAGAGATCTCTCAAAATTTGATAGAGAACAAGCTTACAAAAGCAGAGTTGCCAGACGCGCATCCAATACGGCAAGCAAATAATAACACAGTTATTTCGACGAAGAACGATATGTCAATGCTGTTAGTTAATATTAGAAGCTTGTCAAATAACTGGAATGAGTTCTTACTTGAGGTAGCTAACAGAAAACCTGATATTATCTTTGTTACTGAGACCTGGGCTCACATTGGAATGAACAAAAGTGAATTTTTAATTCATAGTTATCATCCACCATTCAGCAGCAACCAACGTGATATCAGAGGAGGTGGAGTGGCTATATATTGTGCCAGCTATATCAATGTAAGAGAGGACGATGCGCTTCTGGTTGAGAACTACGATGCGATCAGGTGCAGACTTCTTTATGCCAATCGAGAAGTTGTGCTCGGATGTTGCTATCATACTGAACGGACAGACGACGAAAATTTTGCTAACGGCCTGTACAAATTGTCTACTGGAAACATGGAGAAGAATGTAGCTGGGGATTTTAATCACCGAAGTATTGATTGGAAAGCTCTGTCATGCTCGGGGAGCATTGCAGATCAGCGGTTCTTGGATATAGTGCAAGATAACTTTTTGTCACAGCACGTTGTTGACCCAACAAGAGGGCAGAATGTGTTAGATTTGGTTTTTTCGTCGGAGCCAGACCTCATCACGGAATGTATCGTGGAAGGGAAGATTGGATCTACTGATCACAACACAGTGATTTTTTCGGCAGCAATCAAACAGCGTAACTTGAATGAGAGAAGTTTCAGCCGCAGAAATTTTTGGAAGATGGACGTGGGAAGCTTTCTTTCGGATTTGAAAGGATACGACTGGAATTCTCTCCTTATTGGGCATGCAGAACAGCAGTGGAACATGTTGATGGGCACTCTTAATAATCTTATCTCAAAGCATGTACCGTTTGTTGAACGAAGGAAGCGAAAGTACCCATGGATTACAAAACAGGTTTTGCGGGCGGGTAAGGACAAGCGACGTTGCTGGAAGAATTTGCAGAGCAACAATTCTGTTGAAAAAGAGTTGAAGTACATGCACGCAAAACTAGCATCGGACCAATCTGTTAAATGGTCGAAGAAAGATTTTGAAAGGAAGCTGGCGAAAGGAATTAGAGAAGATAGTAAGTCTTTCTGGAGATACTTTTCCGCAAAGAAGAAATGTCCAACAAAGGTTGGCCCATTGAAAGAGGGTGATCGTGTAATTGAGAAGTCTGAAGACATGGCGGAGCATCTGAACAGTTACTTCCAACCTGTATTCACTCAGGAGCCAATAGGCCCTGTATCCTATGCTGTACCACGACCTGATTTAAAGATGCCAAATATGTCGATCACTGTTGACATGGTCCTTGCTCAGCTGCTCAATTTGAGAGTTTATAAGGCAGCAGGTCCGGACGGTATCCCCCCATTGTTTCTCAAGCTAGCTGCACCGGAGTTAGCTGAACCACTGACTAAGATATTTCGAGAATCGCTGTCATCCAGAGTTGTGCCGACTGGGTGGAAAGTTGCTAATGTATCAGCTTTGTTCAAGAAAGGCAAGAGAAGTGAAGCAGCAAACTACCGTCCCGTAAGTCTTACTTCAGTGATTTGTAAATGTTTTGAGCGCATTGTTCAGCAGAGCGTTTTTGGACATCTGAAGGAGCATAACCTCATTAGCGACACTCAGAAATTTATGAAAGGATGAATTTGCTTGCTTAGTCTTCTGGCATTTTTCGAAAAAATGGACGAATTGCTGGACAAGAGAATGGCAGTAAATGTGTTATATCTGGATTTTGCAAAGGCTTTTGACAAAATTCCACATAGACGGCTAGTTGAGAAAATGAGAGCTCACGGGTTATCGGAGGAAGTGATCAAGTGGGTGGAAGCATGGCTGAAAGACCGCAAGCAGAGGGTGGTAATTGATCAGTGTTACTCCAGCTGGGAAACTGTGTTCAGTGGAGTCCCGCAAGGTACAGTCCTTGGTCCTACTTTATTCCTGATTTTCATCAATGATATTGACGACAGCCTTACGAACACCGTGTTTAAGTTTGCCGATGATAGTAAATTAGTCGGACCGTCAAGGAATTTGGACGACAGAGCGAAGCTCCAACGTGATTTCGACCTAATGAAAGCGTGGGAGGAGCGTTGGTGCATGAAGTTCAACGTGGACAAGTGCAAACACTAGCAGATCAGTGCTAGAAATAGAAACGTCGATGGAAGGTACACATTGGGGCTTGCTGAAATCGAGAACGTTGATTCAGAAGTGGATTTGGGTGTTACTGTAAATTGCTGCGGAAAAAGAGTTGATCAATGCTTGAAAGCAGCCAAGAAAGCCAATGCAGTTTTAGGCATGATCAAGAGGACCATTCAATGTCGTGACCGAGAAGTTTTAATCCCACTCTACAAGTCCTTAGTAAGACCACATCTAGAGAACTGCGGATCAGCATGGAGACCTCATTACAAGAAGGACATCAACACGATTGAGAAAGTTTAACGGAGATTTACGAGAATGGTGCCTGGGCTGCAAGAACTATCGTACGAGGAGCGGCTGTAAAAGTTGAAGCTAACAAGCATGTATGAAAGATTCTTGAGGAATGATCTGATTTTGATATACAAGATACTGTTTAGACATATGAATGTAAATCCAGCGACATTCTTCAAACTGAGTCGTAACACGCATCAGATGACATATTCTAAAATTGGAAGGACGCAAAGTGAACCTGGACAGAACCTCTCACTCGTTTGCAAACAGAGTTATAAACGCTTGGAACAGCCTGCCCGAGAATGTTGTTCTTGCACCGACTATTGAGACATTCAAGGAGAGTTTGCACAAGCACCTCTGCCTTGAAAACCCCGGTATAATGGTTTCCTAACCGCTTCCGGGATGCCACACCACAATATGATGTCCACTATGAGAGATCATTCAAACCTGAGTGCGTGTGGCGCACCAGGTAATACACCAGGTAATACCAGGTAAAAAAATTGCACTGATTCGATGTTTGAATGGCTCGATGATATCGAGGAGTTCTTCAGCTGTGCACGGTTTGTCGTAGTTGCTAAGATGAGCGTTGATGGTATTTCTAATAACGTCGTGGCAGATGACAAGATTGCTTTTATTCCTCAGTGATCCTCGTACAAGCAGATAAAACATCAATTCAATTTGAAAAGTGAAGTTCTAAAATTGAAGACCTCAATTTACAAATGTTATTTACAATTATTCACATACAATATGTTTCTAAACCATCATGTTAAAAAATTAGCCAATCACAGTTGACCTCTAAATTACGAATAAGATTTAAATACTTTCAACCTCTAAAATAATTAAACATTTTAAAAATAATTTGTCTGGAAGTTTCTGAGTCATAATTTCGATTTAGACATGTGCGTTTTAACTAAAAATCCAAAAAAAGTTTGGGACTTGTGTTAACTCCCAAGTATTTTCCTGCGAGTCGTTTTTGAATGGGGTGTTTCGCAACTTTGATTGCTCGATCTAATGATGAAGCTCCGATAACAAATATCATAGATTGAGGGATAAATCTTCACCCACAAGTCACAAAGCTTACAAACTGCAATCCTTTCAATCTCCCATTTACATTTCAAAATCGCTGTCTCCTACTGACCAAATCAAATTGCGTTAAATATTGAAACTGAGGAATGATGTTTCCACCAAAGACAACATTCCATAGAGCAATCTCAAGATAAAAAACCTGAAATTTTACCATAATAATGTGGAAATTCCGTTACCCGAATAACTAGCGGATTTGAGGTTGTGTCTTATCAACGCTCAAAGCTTGATAACAAGTACTCAACGTCTCAAGCTACGCAACTTTCTGCTTTCTAACAACATTGATTTACTGTTTATTACCGAAACCTGGCTCTATGATGAGATAGAGAATCACGAAATCTTCCCTGCTTCTGGCTATCACGTCCTCATGCGAATTGACAGAACTTCAGGAGCACATGGAGGAGTGCTTATTGCTGTCCGTGTGAGCCTGGAACTCAGTATTTTATCATCCTTTTCTTACTCTGATTTTCGCTGTTCTATCCTTATTGATTTCCATAAAGCATTTTAAAGTTTCTTATTGATTTACAATCCACCTCAAACTTCATTATTCAGAGTTGATTCTTCTGTGCTTGTTGAGGCTAAGTTTAACCACCGTGATGAGGTTGTAAAATGTCTCGGTCGCAAAGTTTCGAAAGACCGAGTTGTTACCGCAGTTCTCGGTGACATCAACCTTCCTGATGTCTGCTGGAGCTCACACACTGCTACTTCTGATTATTCAAACAAATTTTTGACAGCACTAGATGATCTTGACTTGCTTCAAATTGTTGATTTCAGCACCATAGTTTCGGGCAATATCCTTGACTTGCTCTGCGTTTCAGATCCTCATCGATTCATAGTTTTTCGAGGTGCCACTGCTTTTTCTGATCATTTTCCTGTTTTTGCGCATGTATTTGCTGCAAGTTCAATTTCACATTTTACTACAAAGCGATCTGTCACTTACTCAAAAAGTAGTCTTAATTCAGAAAGATTCAGTCGGGCTATATCGCCCTTATACTCTATCTTGCATTCTAACTGTCATAATGAGTTCATTGACAAGTTCAACGAAACTGTTTGTCAAGCACTTGATTCTTCATGTCGTAAAATTACGGCTCGCAGAAAAGATTTTCCGTTCTATTTTTCATCTCATTCTATTCATATTGCTAATAAACTGAGAACTCTGAACAATTTGAATTGTTTTAATCGCCAATATCTGTCTCAATTAGAGAATGATTTCTCAAACTCAGTTGAACTCGATAAAACTCTGTTGATTCAACGGTTTTCGCCGAATTCATCCAAGCATGCTTTTATGTTTCTGGACCAATTTAAATCAACTCAACCTGTCCCTACTAAACTTTTTTGGGGACGCAAGCAGGTCGAGACCGATGTTTTAATTAGTGAGACTTTCAATCAATATTTCGCTTCTGTTTATCAAGTTTCTGAAAATAGTCCTTCTGCTGGTGGTAATTTGGCTGATTCGGAAATCAAACATTCCGAAGTTGATGTCTCCCTCAGTATTGTTGGCGAGCTCCTAGCTAAATGCAAAGAGACTCGTTCTACAGATAATATACCTGCATTCATTTATAAATCCTGTCACAGCATTCTTTCTCCGCTTGTTTCTTTCCTTTTCTTATCCATTATACAATCTTGTGTTTGGCCCAATTCCTGGAAAACTGCACTCATCACTCCTGTTTTCAAATCTGGTTCTCCTTATGATATTACTAATTATCGGCCAGTTAGCATACTTCCTCCTCTTTCACTCATCTTCGAGCGTATTTTGTTCAATTATATTTACCCTCGAGTTCGATACAAAATTTCGAATGCTCAGCATGGATTCCGCAAGAAGCGTTCCACCATAACGCAATTGCTCTCATATCTAGATGAAGTATATCACACTCATGATGCCAAAATTCCTTGCGCTGCCATGTATTTCGATTTTAGCAAAGCTTTCGATTCTGTCAGGCACGACATTCTTCTACAGAAGTTTGCTGCTTTTGGTTTTGACGATATTTTTACCGCTCTTTTGATTTCTTATCTTTGAAACCGTTTTCAATGTTTTAAAGTTCGAACAAGCATTTCCACCACTTTACCAGTTACTAGTGGTGTACCTCAAGGGAGCGTACTGGGTCCTCTGATTTTCATATTGTTTATTAACGATCTTCCTGAAATATTTAATCATTCAAACTGTTTTCTTTTCGCTGATGACTCAAAATTCATTTGTAAGACAAATTGCAGTGGTTTACAGTCTGATGTGGACAGTTTCACTCATTGGTGTACTCAGAATGGTCTTAAAATCAATAAAGACAAGTGCAATTTCATTATATTCAATGGCAAATTTCCTGATTGTATTTTTGTTAACAACCAACCTGTTCATTCTATTAATTTACTCAAAGACCTTGGTCTGCTTGTTAGCTCTGATCTTACTTGATCAGACCATATTAGTAAAAAACTTCTATCGAGCAATAAAAGCTTTCATTTTATCAAACGTTCTCTGCCATATCACATTCCACTTTCTGTTAAACTCATGTTCATCAATACTTGTGTTAAAAGTAATTTATTGTATGCTAGTCCTGTGTGGTCTCCCTCTTTAACTAGGGAAACGGACTTTATCCTCCACGGTTATTATCCTCCAGGCGATATCCTCCATGGCGGATAAATGGAGGATAATGGTGGAGGATATCGCCTGGAGGATAATTACCGTGGAGGATAAAGTCCTGTACCCCTTTAACTATGTTAAGGAAGCTTGAGAATTTCAACAGGAAATGTCTTACCTGGGTTACAGGTCATTTACCCTATTTTTTAGCAACTTTCTTTAACGAATTCGCTTCCCATATCCTTCACGCTTATATTTAACGACCTTATCCTTTTCCACAAAATGTTAAATGGCCACTCAGAACCAGGGATTTCAATACAATATCAATATATTGAGCTCAATATCAATATTTTCCATTCAATATCAATATCAATATCAAATAGGATGAAATTTCAATATCAATATCAATATCAATATCAATATCTAAAAGCTCAATATCTCAATATTATCACTATTTTAAGATACCAGAGACCAAATTCAATATTGAATTTCGAAATATATAATTAAATTTGTTTAGTTTTTTTTGCAATGTAATTGTTTTTTGTTTAATTTGTTTAATTTTAATGCTTGA